AAAACTTAATTTTTTTTTGCTTAAAATACAATAAATTTGGAGGAAAAAAAATGTAGCCAATCTATAAAACAAAACAAAAGGAAGCATAACCATACCATATTTAAAAAGCAAAAGACGAAAACTACTATTAGCTTAGCATTCTTTTTCGATGATCATTATGCCATTGTTAATACATATAGGCTTACATAAAATACGTCATTTGCTTCCACTAATCATGATTAATGATGTGATTAAGTAATAGCTTTGATGTATCATAAAAAAATTATGTTGATCGGGCACAAATCTCGAAGCAAAATCAAGTTGGAAGCTTCCAAAATTTAAATTGAGATCATTCGAACTCCGATTTCAGCAAATTTATAGTCGAACTGAACCTCTCGGAAATGCAAACCCAACGACACTAAATTCGACTCAATCCAAGCCCAAATGGGTCCAAATCAAGGGTCCGAAGAGCTGTTGGAAAGTTTGAACCACAATTTGGATTACCAAACGATTTCCAAGCATGACGTGCTTATAATCGAATCAAGCGGCTTGACGAGAAGAATCCAATGAGCCCAAGATCACTAAATTCTGATATCACTAAGAGATTCAAATGTCCATCAAATGGTTCGTGATCAAAGGATTCAACATCAGCCGTCCATCCAAGCCACTCCTCATATGCCCTTGATCTCCCACATATTTATGGGCCATGCCACTCTAGGAAATCTATAAATAGACCGCTCCTCCCTTTCGAAATGGGGGGCTCCAAGAAAGAGAGCAAGAGAGAGATCAGATATCGCTCTCGTCTCCTCGCTCCTTCTTGACCATCGCCTAAGTTCCGTCGAGCCACCATTGGAGGCCCTGACTTCTACCGGACCACTACCTGAGGCCCGAACTTCTGTTGGACCACCTGAGATCCGAACTTCCACCTAATCTCCACGTGATGCTCAGACTTCTATTGGACCACCACCTGATGCCCGGACTTCTGCCAGACCATCACCTTAGGCCTGAACTTCTAACAGACCACCACCTGATGCCCGGACTTCTGCTGAACCAACACTTGAAACCCGGACTTCTACAAGACCACCACCTGAGGCCCAGACTTCTGCCAGACCACCACCTGACGCCCGGACTTCTACCGGACCACCACCTTAGGCTCAGACTTCTGCTGGACCCCCACCTGAGGCTCGAACTTCTGACACACCACCACCTGAGGCCTGAACTTCTGTCGGACCATCACATGAGGCACGAACTTCTACCGGACCAACCACCTAATGCCCAGACATCCGTCGAACCATTACCTGAGGCCCGAACTTCTATTGGATCACCACATGACGCCCGAACTTCTAATGGACCACCACCTGACGCACAGACTTCTATTGGACCACCACCTAAGGCCCAGACTTCTGCCAGACCACAAACTGACTATAAGCACCTAACCACCTAACTATATGCCCAAAGTTCTACCAAAGTACCGCCCTACTACAACGGTCTTTCTGACCCTGATCTCTAGCCAACTACAGTCTTTTGGACCCCTGTCTCTTGCCGACTTTGATCCTTCCGACCTTCGTCGTCTACTACGGTCCTTCCGACCAACATCGTCAGACAATGATCTTTATGACCTCGGTCTCTTGCATACTATAGTCTTTCCGACCTACATCACCTCACAAGGGTCTTTATGACCTCAATCTCCTGCCTACTACAGTCTTTCTGACCTCTATCTTATCAACTATGGTCCTGCCGACCAAATAAACATGTCTATGTTGATTATTGTAACTCCCACCATGTAATACACTCTATATGATGTACATTTGTGACATCAAGCAAGATCTTTTTCCTAAGAAGGGCCTCATTTGTAATCGACTGCAAATACTAGTGGATTCATTCAAATTGGGCCAGGCCCCATAGTTTTTCCCCCTTTTAGGGGTTTCTATGTAAAAACTCTAGTGTCTCTTATGAATATTATATTACTATCCTAGCTAAAATTCAAATCCCTTGTCCAATATCCCCAAAATATTTTGGCATGTTAGGAAGCCTATGTGCATGCATATATAAATTGTGCTATTTTGTAGGGAAAGAACTATAATTGCCTTTTTTGGCATGATGAGAAATCCAATTATATTTTGATGCATGTATTACTTATACATACCTTTCTTGGTACGGTAGGCAGCAAGAATAATATGTTTGTTGTGTCTCACAGGCTCAATACATCATACCATACACATTTCTTGATATGGCAGGATGGCCTAGCACATGTTTTATCAAAACCCTAGTTAGGATGATGAGAAAGACAACTGAAATCCTCGTCAATGTTAATATTTTTGCTTTGTCTATACTATATGGTCAAAACCATATATCCATCTTTTCTTGAAGTAGATAGGTTAACATCATTTTAGTGTTTGCATCAATTATATATGCCTTTCATGGTCGGACATAATTCAAGATCGCCTAATTCTGACTCATTTGGGCGCATAAATGGATAAATACTCATAATCAAGGGATAAATATGAGTCTTCCATGAAAACACTCCCTAGCATGCCTTAATCTTTCTTCCGATTTACTAGCAATGCCACTCCAAAAAAACTGTAATTAAATTCCCATTCTTCACACATGAAAGGGGGAAGAGAGGAGAAGCAAGAGAAATTAAAGAGAAGAGAGGAAATAGAATTTGGGAGTTCCTTGCCACCAAACCTTCAACCACCTCCCGGCCACTAATCATCGTCAGACTTTCGTCTGACCACTGACCTTCGTTGGACTTCTATCCAGCCACTATTGTCGCTTGACTATAGTCCATCTAACCATTTCACCTGTGATTATGATCCCTACCTACCACCGTGGCCGCTACTATGGTCAACTTTAAACCTATCGTCGCCCACTAACTACAGTGCACTCCGACCATCATCGCCCTCCAACTACGTCCTTTCGATCACCATCGCCCTCCAACTGCGTCTTTTCGACCACCATCGCCTGCTAAATATGGTCAACTCCTACACCTTCGCTCGCCTACTATGGTCCATTCTGACTATCGTCGCCCTCAACTACGTCATTTCCGACACTGTCATCCACCGTCTATAGTCGACTCTGACCCTCCTACTACCATCGCTCGCCGATTATGGTCATTTTGGCTAATCATTGTCCGTCAACTACGGTCCTTCTGGCACCGTCGCGCCACCATCTACTTTGACCCTCCTACCACCGTCGCCCGCCAAACTACGGTCCTTCCTACTTCTATCGCCCCACTGACTAGGTCAACTCAATAACACCGCCGCCCGCTGACTACATTCCATTCTAACTACTATCACTCCGACTATAGTTCTTCTGACCACCATTTCCCACTTCTACGGTCACTATTACCCCCTCCCACCGTTGCCCACCAACTATAATCTTTTCGACCACCGTCGCTCGCCAACTACGGTCAACTCCTACCACTCTCGCCATCGACTATGTCCATTCTGACTATTGTCGCGCGCTGACTATGGACATTCCAACAACTGTCGCTGTTGACTACGATCCCACCTAACATCGTTTGCCTGCCGACTATGGTCCACTCCGATACTGTGCTGTTGAATATGGTCCACTCGACCACCATCGCTACCTCTACCGGTCCACTTTTGATACCCTAGAAGAAATTACGAAAAAATTCTTGTTAGTTGAAATACTACGATCAAAATAACTATGACGAGATGGATTGCGATTTTGGAGTTATATAATTCCATAAAAAAATTAGCAAAGTCAAATACGGCTATTTACAATCTACCCACCTTAAGAAAAATGTCGTCCCGATATTTCCCTTAATGGTTTCGGATATAAATCAATATAAACCAAATTCGTATAATCAATACACAAATCAAATCAAACTCATAAAAAAATCATTACAGTCATGTAGTTCATTCTATCAAATGTCATTCAACTATATATGCACTATGCACCTTAAACTACCCATCATTACCCAAAATCTCAAATCAAATACCTACAGCTTTGGTAACATCATTCTTCCAACAATAATACTCTGAATCAATTGTGATTCCCCAAAATTACGAAAAAATTTGTGTAAGTAAAATTTACAACCAAAATACTATTGTGAAGATGGATTGCTATTTGGTGTTATATTGATTTTCAGAAAAAAGTAGCAAAGTTAAAAATACAGACTATTACAACTTTGATCACAATCGGCCCACTCGACTAAGTCCACTCTACCACCGTCGCCCGCTACTACAGTCCACTCCGACCTATCGCCCACCGAATTACATGCTTTGACCTTGTTCACTCAAATACAATCCTACTGATTCAAACAGACATTGTCACACTTCTTTTTAAAAAACTAAACCATCTAAACCAAGCTCTATAACAATATGTATTTGCTATATAAAGCCTCCTTCCAAGGAAATACCGCATTTATTACTCAACCATCAATAACTTAGTTTATATTTATAAATTAAATCTAAATATGTAATATAAATTAATAATAATTTATATGAAATTATATGATTATTATATTTTATTAATTTTTATAATAATATTATTATTTATTACGTCAATCAATTCGATTCCGATTTGATCGGTCGAATCGATAAGTGAAACTCCACTTCTTTCGATTCGTTGTCTGATCATATTTTGAGAACCTTGATTACAATCCGTTCAATCATTTAAATAAGTGTTTTAAATTTACTTTTTGATTTATGCAAATAATGCGTTCCCACCACAACGCTTTGAGAAGACCGATACGGATTCGGATTCGGATTCGGACTCTTTTCAAAAGCCCAAACTCGGACCGCAGGACGGTGTAAGACTTGTTGACCGTCCGATCTTATTTTGACCGATCAACGGCGTAGATTATCTCAATCGTTAAACGAGGAAAAATTAACTCATTTGATTGGCTAAGCTCAGTTGGAACTTGGACTAACGAATGAAAATGACGAATCCTTCAATTTTCTTCAAAATGTGTGCTAAATAGTTGCACATGTTTCAAAGCAAATGAACGGGCTGCAAACCACGCTTGCTGGAGTATTTTTTATTGTGCCAGTAGTCAAGATTTTTCGTCTGAGAGAGAACTCATAGAAGCGAGGTTGAAGGCCAAAAATCTAGCTCCTTGCTTGGTAGAAGTAGGGAGAGAGAGAGAGAAAGAGAGGGAGGGAGCTGTTGCGTCCAAATTTGCTTCGCTTCCATCTTCGCTTTCTCTTACTCGACTTAGCTTGGTCAAGTTCTGGGAAGGAGAGAAAGGGGGTGGGAATCGGACAGTAGATTAGGGTTTTTTAAGTTTGAGCATTTGTTGGTGCAGAATGCATATGATGCGGCGGCTCAAGAGCTTTGCCTCGGGGCGGTCATCCATCTCAGATCCGGTGAGCTCTCCATCTATCTTTCTTCGTACTTGTTCTTAGGTTTTAACTTGTTCTACTTGTTTTGTTTAAGGGGGCTTGCTATGACTTGCAGTTGGCTGAATGGAAGATCCTTTTTTAACCTTTTATTGGCTGAGCTTTCAATGATTGGATATAGACTTCGGGTTTACGTTTTTATGTTGTTGGTTTCTAGGTAGTTAATTTTCTTCTATTTTGGGAGGCTTACTTTTGTTTTTTTTTTCTGAAGAGTTTGGGGTAATTTGAAAGCGGATGGTTTTATGTTTTTCTTTTATAATTGCTGCTTTAGTTCTCTACTCAGCTTAATGTGGTTAAAGCTAGCTCATTTGGGGCGGTGAGACTGCATACTTGACTAGAGCTGAAAAAGGATGGGATCTGTGTGGCCCTATATATGCCTCGATGTTCTGAAATTATTGCCCACTACTTTCCTCTATGAAGCGACAAAAATTTGCTGTTGTAGAAACAGCTGTGTAATGCTTTTGATTACTTTGTTAAATGCAATAATATGGGCTTTTTAATAACGAATATGAGAAAGATTATGGCTCTTAGATAAATTAGGCATGAAAAATTATCCCGTTCCTCATAGATAATACTAGTTTAATTGATGGCGTTTGTTTAATATTTTAGTGAACCAAGATATATGTTAGTTTAGCTTAAATTTGCATTCTTAAATTAAACAAAATACTTTTTTGATGATGAGAAATTTATATTGATGTCTTGTGCATTGGACTTAGTTATGATTTACATCAGATGTTATGATGTACTTTATAATATTATTGTAATTCTCTTGTATTTTGGTGTATTATGCCATTAATATACTGTGCAGAACACCATATTAAATTATAAGAACAAATAACTAAAAATCATAGAGCAAGAAAATGAACTATGAAGATTATGTCTTTGCTTATATTTTACAAATCTAATATAATCCAATGTTGTTAAAGGGGAGCTAGGAACTTGCCTAAGTGTACGAGAAAGGAAAGGCAAGGCCATATCGACTTGAACACTTCATTATTGGGTGCCATGCATAAGGTTTAGGTCAATTGAGATGCTTTCCTTTTTTGACCTTCATTCCTATTCAAGCTAATCATTTGGAAGCCTACCTGGGCCTGGTTTAATTGCCTTGATTTGTATTCCTAAGGCAAGGGGCCTACATTGATACTTTCGTGTTAGGATACGAACTAAAGAGCCATTGAGCATGATAAAGACCCTTTGTAATGCCCAAATGATGCACTTCCTTGTAGCAGTCTTGCCCAAACTTATTTTAGGTCTATTGGGGATTCATTGGGGACTTGATAAGGTCATTTTGGTCTTAGAATCCCAACTGTGGCCTACACTTTGCCTACAATGATACCCCTTCAACATTGAGTTTGACCTAATAATGGTCTTTCCTTCAATATTTTATTGTTCACCACCTTTTATTAGTCCCATATTTTGGACACATGTGAAAGATGTTCGTTTGTGGCTTATAAATAGAGAAGAGATCTTACTTGCAAAGTAGAAGCTAACAAGTATCAAACATACATAACTTTCTTCGTTAGTGGGGAGGCATCCCAAGTTTTATTATATTACTATCCTAGCTAAAATTCAAATCCCTTGTCCAATATCCCCAAAATATTTTGGCATGTTAGGAAGCCCTATGTGCATGCATATATAAATTGTGCTATTTTGTAGGGCAAGAACTATAATTGCCTTTTTTGGCATGATGAGAAATCCAATTATAATTTTGATGCCATGTATTACTTATACATACCTTTCTTGGTACGGTAGGCAGGCAAGAATAATATGTTTGTTGTGTCTCACAGGCTCATACATCATACCATACACATTTCTTGATATGGCAGGGATGGCCTAGCACATGTTTTATCAAAACCCTAGTTAGGATGATGAGAAAGCACAACTGAAATCCTCGTCAATGTTAATATTTTGCTTGTCTAATACTATATGGTCAAAACCATATATCCATCTTTCTTGAAGTTGATAGGTTAACATCATTTTAGTGTTAGGCATCAATTATATATGCCTTTTCATGGTCGGACATAATTCAAGATCGCCTAATTCTGACATCATTTGGGCGCATAAATGGATAAATACTCCATAATCAAGGGGATAAATATGAGTCTTCCATTGAAACACTCCTAGCATGCCCTTAATCTTCTTCCGATTTACTAGCAATGCCACTCCAAAAAAACTGTAATTAAATTCCCATTCTTCACATGAAAGGGGGGAAGAGAGGAGGAAGCAAGAGAAATAAGAGAAGAGAGGAATAGAAATTTGGGAGTTCTCTTGCCACCAAACCCTTCAACCACCTCCCGGCCACTAATCATCGTCAGACTTTCGTCTGACCACTGACCTTCGTTGGACTTCTATCCAGCCACTATTTGTCGCTTGACTATAGTCCATCTAACCATTGTCACCTGCTGATTATGATCCCTCCTACCACCGTGGCCCGCTGACTATGGTCAACTTTAACCATCGTCGCCCACTAACTACAGTGCACTCCGACCATCATCGCCCTCCAACTACGGTCCTTTCGATCACCATCGCCCTCCAACTGCGGTCTTTTCGACCACCATCGCCTGCTAAATATGGTCAACTCCTACCACCTTCGCTCGCCTACTATGGTCCATTCTGACTATCGTCGCCCGTCAACTACGGTCATTCCGACCACTGTCACCCACCGTCTATAGTCGACTCCGACCCTCCTACTACCGTCGCTCGCCGATTATGGTCCATTTTGGCTATCATTGTCCGTCAACTACGGTCCTTCTGGCCACCGTCGCCCACCATCTACTTTGACCCTCCTACCACCGTCGCCCGCCAACTACGGTCCTTCCTACTTCTATCGCCCACTGACTAGGTCAACTCATACCACCGCCGCCCGCTGACTACATTCCATTCTAACTACTATCACCTCCGACTATAGTTCTTCTGACCACCATTTCCCACTATCTACGGTCCACTATTACCCTCCTCCCACCGTTGCCCACCAACTATAATCTTTTCGACCACCGTCGCTCGCCAACTACGGTCAACTCCTACCACTCTCGCCCATCGACTATGGTCCATTCTGACTATTGTCGCGCGCTGACTATGGACATTCCAACAACTGTCGCTTGTTGACTACGATCCCACCTAACATCGTTGCCTGCCGACTATGGTCCACTCCGATCACTGTTGCCTGTTGAATATGGTCCACTACGACCACCATCGCTTGCCTACTACGGTCCACTTTTGTGATACCCTAGAATTACGAAAAAATTCTTGTTAGTGAAATACTACGATCAAAATACTATGACGAAGATGGATTGCGATTTGGAGTTATATAGATTCCATAAAAAAATTAGCAAAGTCAAATACGGGCTATTACAATCTACCCACCTTAAGAAAATGTCGTCCCCGATATTTCCCTTAAGGTTTCGGATATAAAATCAATATAAACCAAATTCGTATAATCAATACACAAATCAAATCAAAACTCATAAAAAAATCATACAATCATGTAGTTCATTCTATCACATGTCATTCAACTATATATGCAAACTATTGCACCTTAAACTACCCATCATACCCAAATCTCAATCAAATCCTACAGCTTTGGTAACAATCAATTCTTCCAACAATAATACTCTGATATCAATTGTGATTCCCCAAAATTACGAAAAAATTTGTGTAAGTAAAATATTACAACCAAAATACTATTGTGAAGATGGATTGCTATTTGGTGTTATATTGATTTCAGAAAAAAGTTAGCAAAGTTAAAATACAGACTATTACAACTTTGATCACCATCGCCCACCGACTAAGTCCACTCTGACCACCGTCGCCCGCTAACTACAGTCCACTCCGACCACTATCGCCCACCGAATACTATCTTTTTGACCTTGTTCACTCAAATACAATCCTACTGATCAAACAGACATGTCAACACTCTTTTAAAAACAAATACCATCTAACAAGCTCTATACAATATGTATTTGCTATATAAAGCCTTCCTTCCAAGGAAATACTGCATTTATACTCAACCATCAATACTAGTGGATTCATTCAAATTGAACTAGGCCCCGTGGTTTTTCCCCTTCTTAGGATTTTCTACGTAAAAATCTTAGTGTCTTTTATGACCGTCATATCTCTATCTTTACTCTATTTATGTGTTGGATCTTCGTAAAATGGTAGAATGCTAAACTCCATATATCTCTACCGCAACAAATTTTCTAGGACGCAACAATTATAACCCTCCAAATATAATTTAATTTTGTTACATCTTCTTTATCATCTAAAAAATAATTAAAAATCTGTGAGTTGCTCACAACATCATATGAAAGTAATCATAAATCATTGAGAAGCTTACAACTTATTAGGATACATGGCTGTCAATCACTAACTTATGCTCTGTTGTTAATAAAGGGGTGATTGTTAAAGGGAAATGGTGTCGTTGAAAGGTGAAGAAGGTGCAACTTTTATTATGTACTATCAAGAAACCTTGTCGTGGACTTGACTTTTTACGTAAAACAAGACAACAATGTAGATCAAAACAATAAAAACTGCAGAAATATGAAGCATGGATACAAACCCGAGACAAGTATGACACATTTAACTGGTTCTGTTAAATTTAGAGAATTGGAGAGGAAAAAGCTTAATTTTATTGCACAAAACTATCTTTATTTATAGATCTATACAAGATATTTTAATAAAGAAATAAATAACTACAAAATCATGCATAATTGCCATAATATAGTCCTTCCTAAATGAGCCACCTAAATATAGAAGGAGATCGACATGATCTAAGTGAGTCTCCCATGGATCCCCATGCTGGCCGTGGGATCAAGCGTCAAGGAATTGCTGGGATTTAACACTTCCCCTTCCACGAATTCTCATACTGGTCGTGGGATCAAGGGTCAAGGGACTGTTGGGATTTATCATGTTCTACCCTGTCCTATTATCTCTGGTACAATAGACTGATTAAATTTCCATGCTTGTTTTCTGAAGTGCCTTTTGCATGTCAAATTCTGATTGGATCTGGATTGGCCGGACTTTGCAAAATGAAATAGGCACCTAAACTTTTATTTGTTAAAAATTTACCCTAAATCATCCTACTAGGTCTATTAGAAATTTTTCATGGACTACTTTTTCATCAAGTGTCTTCGAAACCTAGCATATCTGGATAAAAAAGGGGAAAAAAAACTACTTAAAATAAGGGATACGGGGGAAAATAATGATACCATTTTGATCTGTTGACTAATTGAATCTATGCTATTTCATAGGTGGTTGCTTGTTAATATCAAAACATACTGTAGGAAATTTTGTGTCTGATCTAACAAGGCTGGTCGGAGACAGTGAATAAGCAAGTAAAGATGCATGCTGTTTGCCCTTGTCTTCCCTATGTTCTTAGACTTCTATGGCCCTATTTATTAAGGTTTCCTTTTTAAAACTATACTGAATACTATTGCAGAAACTATTTAGCGCCCATTAGACATTTTTTTACGTCTTTGTCTGCTTTTTTATAACAATACAGGAGTGAAATCAAACAGAAACAATGACTGGATAAATATTAAATGAATTTTCCTATTTCTGGAAATTCTCAAGACTGTCTTGTTTGTATAAATATGAAACTCTGCAGGTTTTTTAATATTTCGTTGAACACAATTTATTTGAAAATTTAATTCATTCTTATCATAAAAACCTACAACTAAAAGCCACATCTTGCTTGTTGCTGCCACGCATATATCCTTCTCAAGAAAACCACAAACATAGAAATAGGCAAAGTTGTGAAAATCGGACTAGACATAGAACCGGATGAAGGAGAGGTTCAATGATCTGACCGGGTTTGAACCAGATAACATAATAAATATTGAAACTATTTAATTGTAATATAAATTATATAATAAATAAAATTTTAAAAGTAAATATATAATTATCTCAATTAAGACTCTTGAACAAACTTGTTTAAAGAGATATAAAGTTTAAAGAGATATAAAGTGCGTTAAGAAGCTTGATTAACCATTAATATGAGTATAATTATATGTATATTACAATTATAAATATATGAGCATTAAATATATTTACAAAAAAAAAATATAAATATAATTTATAATAAGAATAATATTTAATATAATATATAAATTTATAAAATTAATAAAATTTATATTATTAATTTTTATAATATACATTATAACAAATTTGCAGCACAATGTAGCCCAAATTCGCATTTTAACTCATATAGTATTCATGCCGCTTTTTTAATCCCACATCGTAGGGGAGAGTTTGAGGTAGTTGTCTTTATATAGTATAAAGTACACATAACTTTCAAAAAAAGAAATGTTATATAAGATGACATGTATATATCATGGTTGAATTCAGCTCATATATAATTAAAATATTTTAAAATTTTAAAAGGATTTAATAAATTAAAACATATTATTTTAAATTAATTAAAATAAAATCAAATATTTATAGAACTGGCTGGTTCTAGAAAACCGGGATCAGTTCAACGGTTTCCCAGTTGAACCAACGGTTCAAATTGGTCTGATGTAAACACGGTTTTTGAATTTAACTGAAATGGTAATTTGGCTGGTTCACGGTTGAACCAGACCATGAACCGGCCGGTCTGATTTAGTTTTCAAAATATTGGAAATAGTATCAAACAAGTAAAATCAGACTAAGCATGTTGTAGACTGAAGGTCATCTTAATGCTACCAAATTTTTATTACTAACATATTTTTTTGAAGTCTTAAACTGTCAAAGTTTTGCATCCTTGATACGACAGTGATTAGTGGCATTCCAATATTATATCTATTGGTGGGATTTTAAAATTTTGCTCTATAGTGTAGAAATTGACAGCCTCCGTTATATATGCTTATCTTCTGATATTTTATTAATTCAAGGGCAAAATTTGCTCCTGCTTAGAACTCATCATAGTCTGCAAAGGTTTGAAGTTCATCATTTGTACGCTCTAATGGACAAAGTGAGCAAACAAGTTGCAGCTTTTAATAACCCACTTTATAGCTGAATTTATGTCGGCTCTTGTTTCTTTTCATGGAGAGTGTCTTGTAATTACTACCATCAAGATAGGTTAAATTTTGTTACTCGGTACATTTATGTTTGCTTGTATATTTCTGAAGCTGTTTAATTTGCTCTGAAGGCTCGCTTGGTTACAGGGTGGGGAATCCGGCTTCAAAAAGGAGAAGGTGGAGCAAGATGTAGTAGGAGGGGATGTATCTTCAGAATTTGATATGGAAGTAGATAAAGATGAAGGTACTGAGGCAGAGCTACAAACAGCCTCAACTCATTTGGATGCTATGGCTAGTACATCTTCTACCAACCCTATGTCTAAGCCTCAAGAAGCAGATCTCCATCAAGTTCCTGCTGAGGTGCTTGAGATAACCATGCGAGATGACAATGCAGATGGCAATGTCAAGGTTACCAATCAATCATCTTGAATTTGTGTGCAATCCTGAACTTTAATTAAGATTTCTTGTTCAGGATATTGAGAACAAGATGGCTAAAGGAAAGTTAACAGAGACTGGTCAGATAATCACAACAACAATAGGTGGTCGGAATGGACAGCCAAAGCAGGTGAAATCTTTTTCTCATAATAACCTTAGTAGTATTATCTTAATAATCTAATCATATACTGTAAGCACTTTTACTTACTCCATGATTTCCCTTTGCCAAACTCCAAATCTACCTCTTTTTTAGATATTTCTGTATCTAATATGCTTTACTTCAGCATAGATGCTTGTTTTTATTTTTTGGGTTGTCTAATATTCAAGTTGTCTATTTTTCCTATGGTTCATTGGATCAAGGTTACATTTTCTTTTAGGAATTGGTCACCGTAATTCTCTATTAAAACATTAGCGTTTTGGCTTTCTTGAGCATGCATTTCTAAGCTTAAAATGTTGTCTAGTTGGAAAATACAGCTTGAATAGTTTCTTATTGAATGTGTTCACTAATGAATGCAAGACAATCTCATACATGGCGGAGCGTGTGGTTGGCACTGGTTCATTTGGTGTTGTCTTCCAGGTTCTAAGCATTCTTCTATGTTTGGAGGTTTTTGATGTCAATCATTTGCGACCTGTTTAATTGTCTTCCTGACCATTGTTGCTTTGTTCAGGCTAAATGTCTGGAAACGGGGGAATCAGTTGCTATTAAGAAAGTATTGCAGGATAAGAGATATAAGAATAGGGAGCTCCAAATTATGCAGATGCTGAACCATCCCAATGTGGTGAAATTAAAGCATCACTTCTTTTCAACAACTGACAGGGATGAGCTATACCTGAACCTTGTACTTGAATTTGTCCCTGAGACTGTTTATCGTGCTTCAAAGTATTTTGCCAGGATGAAACAACACATGCCTCTACTTTATGCGCAACTTTACACATACCAGGTGTGTGGGTAACTGGTTGAGACTTTCTATGATAAATTTTTGGTATTTCCATGTCTAAATATGTTTTCTTTTTATGAACAACTGTCTTTTTTGTAGATATGTCGTGCTCTTTCCTATATTCATCGTGTTGTAGGGGTTTGCCATCGTGATATTAAGCCTCAAAATCTCTTGGTAAGCTTTTAATTTATTTTGATTGAATGCATAACAGCGTGATTCTTATTACAGTGAAGGGGTATAGAAAGAGTTTATGGTCGTCTCTATTTTCATTTACTTAATTATAAAGGTAAAGGATTTAGTTTTGGCTTCAGCCTGTGAGCCTCTAATTAATGAATCAACATGTATGTTCCCTGCGAGCCTCTAATTAATTAGTCTTGGCTTCAGCTTGCGAACCCCTTTAATTATGAGTTTATGCCTTCTTTGTTCCCTTTTTTTAGCTTCTATGCTAACTCATTTAGTCCACTTGAGAATTGCTTTGTGTAGCCTTGAATACATTCTCATATATGGCTTAATCTAATGCATATTGTTTAGCCTAAGGTTGCTTAACCTAATGTATTAGCCCAAACTAGTTAACTTAAATCATTGTAGCATAGTCTTTGTTGACTAGCCCAATACTTAGAGAGCATTCTAATTTATGAACTTTTTATTTAACTTATTAGCCTCTGAAGATGAAAGGTTGATAATGATAATAATGTGGCTATCCTAGAAGTAATTTGCCTTGTAATTGGAATTAGTCCTATTGTTCTTATATAAATTTACTTTCCTATAGAGTCTTTGTTAGATTTAATCGAGAATTTGACTTTTAACCGGACACAATGGAGAAAAAATATTCATGTAGCTGACCCCACGTAGTGGGACAAAAACTTGATGTTATTGTTGTTGTTGTTGTATAAAGTCAATTCAGATGCAGTTTGTTGCAGGCATATGCGCTTTGCCGTTTCATGCCATGCCTTGCAATTTTGGGTCAATGTTAGAATCAATAGATTAATTTAGAATTAGATAGAAGTATGCACTTTTATTTTTGAACTCTATTACAATGCCAAAATCCTTTATTTTGCATCATCCATTCATTTTAGAAAATCTGTCTGTAATGCCCTTGCTATTTGTTCATTAAAGTGGAAATAAATAGTTAATCTTTTGCAAGCAACCTGTTTCTATATGATTTATGTAGGATGGTTTAGGGTTTAATTTTTTAAATGTTACTTGAACGATGCAATATATATATATATATGTATATATATATACATATATATATATATATATATATATATATATATATACATATATATATACATATATAGATTGGACAACAAAGTTAAGATTTATAGAATAAAGACTAGTAATTACATAAAAAACTCACTTTAGGAGCTAACAAAAAAATACCAACGAAAAAACAACAATTAAGTAAATCCAAAGATATCAATGGTAAATTAGAACCACAAAAAATCAACAAACAATTGAATTTTTTCACCGCATTTAAAATTTTGGTTATCATATTTGAATAAAATCAAGAATTCTAGGAATCGAATACTATATATTTAAAAAAAAAAAATACTAAGCTTGAAAGAGTTCAGAAAAATAAAGAGAAAACAAACCTCATGCTAGTACAATGAGACGATATCCTTTTGAAATAAGTAATCTCACTTGCATCACCTTCGAAGATGTAAAACATAAGACCTCACAAAATTAAAACTTTGAATTAGATAGTTTATCGAATCAAAAGTTGCAATTACATGCCAAAATAATATTTTTGTAAGTCTCAATCGTTCCCAAGTTAGTTGCCTACAATACAAAATTGCAGAAAATTCTCCATATAACAGTAATATAGTTGTAAAAAGTGTACATAAGATTATACTTACCAACTATGGAATTAAGGCTACAACTTAGTCATAGAACTGTTGAAGAATTCCTTTTTTCAGTTCTTGAAGTTGAATTTTGCTATAGTAATAAACCCCATGTGCTACAGGAACCACAAGCTGCTACAGGCCATACATGGGAGCTACAGGAATTGCTTTGTTCTGTAGGATATAACAGACTTGATATAGTATTGCAACTACAATAACATGGAAGGATAATTCGCATTAATCTTCCTCCGAAGAATTTAGTATTTGGCAAATCAATACATAAGTTCTTTAATTCTTGGAAAATAATTCATGAGTCATAAAAAAAAGTTAGTCATGATCAATGTTTAAAATTGCGCAATTGGTTTAAGGCGTTTTTTGTTCATGAGGCGAGGCGTAAGCCTCAAGGCATTTTGAGGCGTAAGCATCAAAATTAAAAAATTGCGTTAAGTGATAATAAAAGTCAAATTTGATTTTTTTATGTAACTTCCTATTGAATTATGAATTAACAAACTTGCATACATATGAAATAAAAAATTGCACAAGATATAAAGTGACAAGTGATAAATTGCGTGAAATAGAATTAAAATCCAAATATTATAAGAGCAAAACAATATTAAATATAGATTGCATAAAAGTATCATATAACATCAAGTTCAACTCCAAATTTCTTCTTTCTCAATTCTTTAATCATTTACATTTAATTCCTAATGAAAGCTGAAATAGTTGGCAACAACTTAGAAATCATCTGCACTGTCATCACTGAGGTGGTCTTTATCTGAGTTGTCATCATAACAAATTGGTTTATCACTTGCCTCATTCGATAGAGTCGAATATCTCCCAATATGCTTCTTTTTAATTTATTTCAATCATGTTCATCTTTTAGAAATATTTTCTTCAACATAAATATGAGATTATTGCTCCAAAATTTTTAGGGTTGTGATGTGCATCTTTCAAGTGATTATCGATGACGACTACGACGGTGTTGGTTGGGACGAAGGCCGCAAGCTGGAGGTAGAGACAATTGAGAGGAAGTTGTTACACTTGAATGTACATGAATGCGTGATTTATGTTAGTTTTAACAACAAATATATACAAATTGGGTGAGGCGTAAGCCTCAAGCAAGATAGGCGAGACGTGCCTCAAGGCGGGCCTCAGCCAAGCCAAGGCGCAAGCCTCATAAAAAAATCTAGAGGCGTAAGCCTCGAGGCATTTTTCACTAGAGTTGCGTTAAGGCGGGCCTCATATTGCGCAATTTTAAACAATGGTCATGATAATATATTAGATATCTCTAGAACTCACCATTAGTAATGGACATAATCTTATCATTCAAAATAGCTTTTAGGAATAAGCTATGTAGAATCATTTGTTAGTGTTGGATGCAAATTCGTGAGTTGGAAATAGTAGAATCCATGGAATAGGCATGTTCATGAAATAATGTCAAATTAGACATATCGAAAATTGAATTAATACTAAAATATTTTAGAATTTCTAATTTATATGCTTATTTTCTATTATATTGCAAAATTCTATATGCCCTTGCCTTGTTTCTATTTAATTTTTTAAAGGTTCCTAAAGGAAGGCTTTCTGAATTTAAATGCATCATTATTTTATCTCTAAGTTAAGCTCAATGTTCCTATTGTTCACATCAATAATTCAATACAAAGTTTATAATTTTCACAATTAATAGTCTTTGTTCTGTGAAATTCTTAAGAAAATCATGCAAAATAGTCCAGTAATAAAAATGCAACAAAACTATTGTCCTAAAGAATCCTAATAATGACCTATTACTAATTCCTAGAAAATGAGATGTTCAGGACATTAAAAACAATTGATATTATGATATGCTTATATGGACAGACAACCTCCATAAAGAAAATTAACATGCATAAATATGTCTTTTGATGAATTATGCACCTTCAGAATTAAGCAAACATAAGTTCTAAATTTTAGATTTATTTCTAGGAATTAGTTATTGATAGATTACTTAAAATATAGGTGAAATTTAACTCTCCAAAGTGTTTTTTTTAAATAAATTTGTGTAAAAAAACCAAGAACTATAGACAATTAGCTCCAGGCTGATCATTCAACACGTGTTATATTGAAAGATATTAATTAAAAATTATGTTATCAGATTCCTCATTTAATTTATTAACTTCATTAGATATAATTGTTTAGTTTCACATTTAGATAGAGATTCGATTCCTATTATATGTTCAGGCTTAGATATTGTCTCATGCTCAATTTTTTTCTCAAACTCTAATATTCATTCTTGTTCAAATATATGCTCAGGTTTATGCATAAGGTTCAACGTAAGTGAAGATTCAATTTCAATAACATTAGATATAAATTTAGATTGTAATTGCAAATTATACTCTTCATTTAATACATCCTCTAATGAATATTTATGAACTATTGTTTATTCAATTGGATCAACTTCAATGATACATGGTTCTTTTGTTTATGTGCATGCAACAAACTTTAGAAATGGCAAATACTTTTTCTATAGGGCCATGGATGATAAGTGTGATAGTCCAATTAGAATGATTATAATGCATCTTAATAACTAAAGCCTTGAATAAAGCCTCATGTAATAGTTTGGATGAACCAATGTGTAATGACCTTTCCTAAACAAAGAATAGCATAAGTTTAAAGACATAATATTTAGTTGTAAGGACTATAAATTTTCATGGTACTCAAACACATCATATTTATATTGCTTGCATTTCTTAAATTTATCATGTAGTTGATCCCTGTATTTATCAAATGATAAGTGTTTCTCTTCAAGTTTAATGTTCATTTCAACTCATAATGATTTAATAGCGAAAGTTCTCTAAAATAATCGAGCATGCCCCGTTAGTTTTGATTTGCCACACGAGTTGGGAATTTGACATATTATATTTTTCAAAGAAATTTTCCTAATTATCATTCAATTGTGCATGCAACAAGCTTTAGAAATGGAAAATACTTTTTCTGTAGGGCCATGGATGATGAGTGTGATAGTCAAATTAGAATGATTATAATGCATCTTAATAACTAAAGCCGTGTGTAAAGCCTCTTGTAATACTTTGGATGAACCAATGTGTAATGACCTTTCCCAAACAAAGAATAGGATAAGTTTAGAGACATAATATTTAGTTGTAAGGACTATAAAATTTTCATGGTACTCAAACACATCATATGTATATTGCTTGCATTTCTTAAATTGATAATGTAGTTGATCTCTGTATTTATCAAATGATAAGTATTTCTCTTTAAGTTTTCATAATAATTTAATAGCAAAAGTTCTCTAAAATGATTGAGCATGTCCGGTTAGTTTTGATTTGACACATGAGTTGGGAATTTGAGTGATTATATTTTCCAAAGAAAGTTTCCTAATTATCATTCAATTTAAAAAAATTCTAAGATTATACCTTCCATTGAGTGTAAAAATATAATTTTGAACCGCATTTTAATAAGATTGTGGTTATATAGAATCATAGCTTGCAAGATTTTATTTGATTTGCAAATTTTGTTTTAATGTTCATTGACCTCAATTAAATGCTGTATTTTATGTTGACATGGCGATGCAACCTTAAGCTTTGATTTTTTTTTTTAACCTTAAGCTTTGATATTGATTTGATGCAAGGATGTTTAGGGTTTATGTTTTCTAATATAATTAGAATGATGCGTTAAAAAAAAATGATGCGTTGAATATATATCACATAAGAAAATTAAGATCCATTGATTAAAAACTACTAAATACACAAAACTCTTATTCATAGCTGTAAAAATAAAATACAAACATTAGAACACCAACAATAATGTAATGATTAACTAAATTCAATGAAATGAGAAATTGGAACCATAAAAAATCAACAAAAAATATAAAATTTTAATCACAATTAAAATTTAAAATTACAGTTGCATTAAATTTGAACAAAATTAGAACTCTAGCATGCTAATAACAAGATATTTAGGAGAAAATAGATAACGGAAAGAATTCACCAAGTGAAGAAAATTCAGTCATCATACTAGTATATGGAGATTCCTCTGAAATGCACTTGTATCACACTTCAAAGAATCACACATCCATTATGCATGTAAGATTGAAATTGAATTTAGAAATTTTATTGAATAAGAAGTTGCTACAACAACTAAAGAACATGTTTTTAAAAATCAGACCGGATAGGGTTGATCCAGCCTGAACATATCCTTCATCTTGCTCTTTCCAATCCAAAAACCGTTTTTACATAGAACTGATCATAACTGGTTGGAACTGGTGGTTGAATTGGAGAATCGGTGAACCAATCCGATTTTTTATGAACCAGTTGGTTCAAATACAGATCAATTTTTAACTTTTGATTTTGATCAAATAGCTATTATAAAAGGTTTAGAGGTTTTAGTTTATGTTTTTTGAACTTTTATGTTCAATACTATTGTTATTTAAGTTGAATATCTTATAAATAATAAAAAAATCAAATCCCGAAATTTGATTTAAAATTGTATTCAAAATATTTAATGGTGAAGTGTCTTGATTTGAAATATCATATATTAGATTAGTAAAAATATCATTGTTACACATTTAAGTCATATTCGAATATTTTTATATTTATTTCGTTATTCGGTTCAACATTTGAACCTTGAACCTCTTGCTCTATTGGTTAAATGTCGGGTCCGATTTTCAAGACCTTGCCTAAAAATTAAAGGCTACAACTACAACTAGGACTGAAGATGTCAAAACATTGTTGAATAGTCTTGTCTCCATCACTTAGAGCTAAAATTTGCTATAGGTATAGAATAGTAAGCTATAGGAACTGTTCCAGGAAGCACATGCTACAATAGGACAAAATGAATGCGCTATAGTACCACAGAAGGAGAGTCAGTATGAAGCGACATTATCATCATCATCCTTCTCCCAACAAATTGTTGTTGAGTTAATGAATCCTCAATTTTTATTTGTTCTTATTTGAGTGCTGCATGAAATGTTAAATCCATTCTTCTAAAATCTTTTTCATTAACTTCTATCGATATTATCATAGGGCTACCATTTTTTCTTTATAAACATTCAACGCAAATTTTATTCATTCATCCAATGGGTGTTGACCTAACATTAACCCAACATTTCTCATCGGGCTATAATATTGGCAATGCCTTTTAATAAGTTTGTTTTTTAGCATTGTGAAGACTTCAGTAAAGGAGAGTTTTTTTTTTTAAATTAAATTATTAAATTTTATAAGACATTGTGAAATCTTCTTCCGTTTTTTAGCTATTATTACTCTTTCTTGTTTAAAGAGGAAAATCTCATTTTTTGTTGATGGACTTCACCTTGAAAAATTGAACATTCTTTACTTGGATTTGTTTATTTAGTAACTTCAAATTTCTTTTAAGTTTTGAAATCCTTACAGATTTAACAATTGTGTGCCTTGCCCAATCACCCCAACCCCCTTCTCTTGCAGGTTAATCCTGAGACTCATCAAGTAAAAATTTGTGATTTTGGCAGTGCCAAGATGTTGGTATGCTATCTACTTTGCATTCCTTTCTGTTATCTGGTTTCATGATTTGTCATGTATTTTGCAATTCTTTATGTTATCATGGTTCATGATTTGTCTCAATTTTACTGTGATTCAGGTTCCAGGGGAGCCTAATATATCTTACATTTGCTCGCGATACTATAGAGCACCAGAATTAATTTTTGGAGCCACAGAATATACAACAGCAATTGATATGTGGTCAGTAGGTTGCGTTCTTGCTGAACTTCTCTTAGGACAGGTAATAGTATTGTGCAAGCAATTATCATGTAATATTTTTTTTTTATATTGTCTACAAATTTAGCACTATCATACTTGATTTGAAACATATTATAATCATGAAGATGATATTTCATATTCTATTGACATGACCTATTAGATTTTTTTTTACATGATTATTTAAATAATATTTAACATGACCTATTAGATAATATAATTCATCAAAAGGTACTGTATGCCAACGTTGTGTATTTTGTCACAACAAATCTAGTTATTATATTCTTCTGTCTAATTAATTAATTTTTTAATTGGTATCAAGTTTTTTGTTTAGATTTGGATTCATACTTTATGTTGGTGCTTGCCCCCATTGTTCATTATCCCTCCCATTTGGAAGAGCAGTTTTGATTAAAAGGGTTGCTACACTAGACCTTTATATATTTGCACTGCAGGTGGCATTCATATTATCGTCCCATTAGCTTGCCTTATGCATGGGGGAACTGTTTTATAGGATGAAGGTAAAACTCATCAAAATCTCATGGTTCTATCTCAAAGGCATTATTATTTGGACCCGGTTTAGTTTGGCATGACTGAGGGACATTGTTTGACACCTATTATCTGTGAATTTTTGTAAAGGGCTTCTAGAGATTTTTAACGGGGATATAGTTGTCCAAAGGGGCCTTCGGATTTGATTTTTGAGGGAAACTACACTAGAGGTTTTGGGCGGGCTGGCTGATGGTATTAATGTTTAGCATTTCCTTCTCATTTGTTTTAAACTTGTTTTTTTTCCATGATTATGATTATGATTATCTAACCCAACAATTGGATTTCAAATTAACACCGTCATAATTGACAAAATTTGCACGTTGAATGGGGCTGGATGTTTGCCAAATTCATTGACCTTGTGTTAACATTTTATATGGAAAAGACTTCTATTCCTCATTTTCGGCTGTTATTTCTATTCCTTGCTTAGTTCTTAACGACACTAATTATGGTTTGAGATAAAGAATTGCTTGAATTCTCTTTTATGATGTTCCTTTTGTAGATTAAATTGTTTTTTTTTTCTGATACTAAACACTGAAATTATGCAGCCTCTTTTTCCTGGAGAGAGTGGAGTTGATCAATTGGTGGAGATTATCAAGGTCTACTAACATTCTTCTAGTATTTTAGTTCATTCTTTTTTAACTTTTCATTCTTTACTTTTTAGCATATAATTTTGTATTAATTGCTTTTTTTATTCAAGATTTTGGGCACCCCAACACGTGAAGAGATCAAATGTATGAATCCAAATTACACGGAGTTTAAATTCCCTCAGATCAAAGCTCATCCTTGGCACAAGGTCTGTTAGTGAATCATGCTGGTATTTCATGTCAAGAATTTTATTGACTGAGCAACAAACGTATGCACTGTAGATTTTTCAAAAACGAATGCCTCCTGAGGCAGTTGATCTTGTATCAAGACTGCTTCAGTACTCTCCAAGTTTGCGATATAAAGCTGTAAGAGTTTCAACTTTGATGAATTGATGTATGTTCGTTCCTTCAATAAGTTTGATGATTTTTTTGCTTTAAACTAACCTCGGTTTATTTACTTGTTTGAATGACTCGACTCTTATGGTGGCACTATTTTGCATCATCAGCATCCTTTATTTTGTTACGCTTTTCTACTGCTTAACTTTTTGAAAGTGGTTTTGATTTATATAGAAAAAACTTCTTACAAAATCATTTTGTATGTTCATATTTTTCATTACTTTATAAGCATATAAACCTACAATGCAGCTCTTATTCCAAAGTTTTGAAAATTAGACTGAATATTGAATCGAAAGAAGTTTAAGGTTCAACTGGGGGTTGAACCAGACGATGTAGTGTATATTAATGTATAAACAAAACATCATTTTAATGTACCTATTGTTCTATGTAGACGACATACTTATCACAGACAATCATCCAACAAGCATCTCAAACATAATTTCTGCACTATAACAGCAATTCCTACTCAAGATCCTTGGCCCGGTATCCTTGTTCCTCCATATTCAGGTAAAATACACCCGTAATGGCTATATATTTCATCAATAGAAATACACACAAGAACTCCTCTATAAGTTTGGTCTGTAAGAATGCAAACCTACTGTAACTCCTTTGGCCCTCAAACCATCGAAATCACCTGACAATGATCAACTCCATTCGAACCCTGCTCTCTTTCAGAAAATCATTGGATCCTTACAGCACCTTTCCATAACACATCATGATATTGCCTTTACCACAAATCTTCTTTGCCAATCCATGCATAAGCCTTTGAACAAACACTGGAAACAACTCAAACGCCTACTTCAATATCTCAAAGGCATCGTCCACCATTGCTTACCAATCCACAACCAGCTCTTACACCTATCTCAGCCTCACACTACTCTCCTGGACCGTGAAACAACAACCTACCATTGCTAAATCATCCACATAAACTGAATACTTTGTACTCGCCTCTGCAACCTCAGATATAGTTTGGCGATGACGCCTTCTCCATGACTTTAGCATTTCCCTTTCTGCACCAACTCCAATCCATTGTGACAATATGTCAGCACTTCTCTCATCTGCAATCCAACTTTTCATGATAGAACAAAACATATTGAGATAGACTATCATTTCATCAAAGATAGTATCTCATCCAAAGAAATTTTAGTCCATCACATTGCCTCCACTGACCAGCGAGTAGACATCCTAACCAAACATCTTCCACCCTCTCGCTTCATTTCTCTTCGTGATAAATTAAAAATCCAATCATTGGCCCATTAATTTGTGGGGCGGTGTTAAAACCATAAGTTCTACGGCACTTGATAAGCAAGACTCCTGTGCTGGTCACCACTTCACTTTGCTGCAGACTCTGCCTTCCACATCTTACAAAACTGCTCTCCACTACTCAACAATCAACATGGAACTTCCACGATCTCACCATCTATAACTGAACAACTGTATCATATTTGGCATATATGTATACCATGTACTATGTAAAGGTCATTAAGAGAATACATATCTTTCTTTTCATCTTTTAGTCTATTCTCCTCTTCAAGTAGCATTTTTCTTACAACACAACAGGAAGTCTTTCACGGATAACCGATTTACAGTTGAATCGGTTGAACTAATCAACCTCATCTGATTTTTCAAACCATCCTTATTTATATATCAGAATATAATGATTCCACTTCATACAAACATAGCTAAGTTATATTAAAATGTTCTATGTGCTATGCGTTGCTGTGTTCTTCTAAATGATTAGAAAAAAATATTTTTTTCCTATTTACTTATCATTTTCTTTACCTCTTATATATGTTCCATATATTCTTGTTGTTTGGTTTACATACCAAAACTTATATTAATGCAAATACTCTTTGACATTTCATCTTTAATTTTCTTTGAGATTATTTTCTTTTCATGGAAACCACAGTTAGATGCGTGTGCACATCATTTTTTCGACGATCTACGAAATCCGAATACCCGCCTTCCCAATGGAAGCTCTCTTCCACCTCTATTCAATTTCATGCCACAAGGTCAAGAATTTCATCAGCATCTTTATTCATTGATCACCCTATCTCTGCATCATATCTGAAGCTGCTACAATGCTGATTAAAATTCGCCTTGCAGAGCTCGAAGGTGCTTCTCCTGAGCTGATTCAGCGACTCATACCTGAGCATGCAATGACCTAATTTGAACAATTGATGGATATGAGCAGTTAATTGACTATTTCTGAGAAATGGAGAGAGGGATTGGCTCCTTCATGAAATTTTCATTGAACACATTGAAAGAGGAAGAACCATTGACAAGTGGAGATATGAAGCGAAGCCTTCCTGGAAAGAATTATTCATCATGGATTGGTATGTCATTTGTTTTTACGATCTGTGATTATCTATTTATCTTGGCCCATCACCCCCTCTGTAGTTCTTATGAAAATTTGGAAGATCTTCAGTTGGTCTTCTGAAATGTTGTAATGATCTTTGATTATTGACTTTGGTTGCATTTCCGAATTATCTTAGGGTTATTTGTAAGGATTAATGATACGTTCATATTTTTTTAAATTAATCATAGAGGTGGTTGAATGTATTTTCCATATTGAAATTGTTTTTTATGCTCTTTGTAAATGCTGCATTTATTGGAAAAATTGTGTTTAAAAAGACTGGATAAGAACATTGGAAATGAGCATAGTCAAGTGAGTATAATTTTGGTTTCGTTTGGGACGGTTTTTTTATTGCTTCTTAAAACAAATTTTTAGTACGAAAATTTTAATTTTGATACTAAAAAGCTGTTTTAAACAGTAAGAATATGCCACTCAGTTCTAAACCAAAATGCTCTCAGGAACATTGAGAAGAGTGTTCCAAGGACATAAGTATTAAAAAAGAAATACAAGTAATGCTTATTGTCACATTCATTAATCAATTTATTTATTAACTCTTTGGGTATTTTTTTTAATTTTTATATCAAATCACCTCTAATCTTCATGAGATCATCACTATGAGTCAAGAATGACCTAATGTGATATCCATAAAATTTTGAAAGCATTTAGCATTATATTTAATTTTTATTTATTTTCTTTAATTTTTATTAAATTTTATTTCTTTATTTATTATGCGGGGGCTACACATAAAGCAAGAGTGAAATATGAATATGATTATGTTTCCTTTGATAAAAAAATAAAACTAATTAAATATGCAAGCATATATGTAAATGAAGTAATAAAGTAATAGAGAAGAGTGTCAATCCCATGTGGAAGTGTTCTGCTTAATTGTTATTAAACTACTATTTTCTAATATAAATGCATTACTTATCCTACTAAATGAAAAGCAATTGTCTAGAGACTGGCGAAAAAAATTGATATTGATGAATAAGCACCTCAACGTTGTCGGCTTGTTCCACTATGGTGCTGGGCTGACCTAGCACAATTAATGGTGTAACCGACATGTCTTTTGGCTGAGTAAATGTAGGTTCCTTACTTGGCAATTGCTCAAGCGCAGCAATGTAAAAGTCTAGTGTTGCGAACCTTGAATGTGCAATTTAGCACTATGGCGTCATGAAGCTTGGAGCTATGGAATTCAATTTCCTAATGCTGAAGTGTTGCGATATTGATTTCTGATGTAGCAACTTTGTGATGCTAACCTTGGTTCCACCACGATGCTGATCTCCTTAAAATGTTAAAACAACTAGTGCCATAAATTTCAGACAAGGCACTAGGGCCTTGTGGATGATGATCTGCAATGCTAAAAGGAAGGCACAATGGTGTTGGTTTAACACTTACTTTAATTTTCCTTTCCCTAAGCTTTTCCTACACAATATTTACTAAAACACCACATTTTCACTAAATTTAAATACAATAAATAGTAAAATTTTTTACATAAAAAATTTCCTCTAACATAAACTTTTGCATATCCTCATGCAACAATCGAATCACCTATTGATTAGCTTAATAACAAAAACAAAAAGTGTGTAATTTTAAATTACTAAATGTAATATAATACATTACACACTAGAAGTAATTTCGAATGATCAAAGTTATAATTCTAACTTAAAAGCTCATAATAATTAGCCCAATCAATCATCCTTGCTATTACTTGCATTGAACTTATCCACTACAAGTGTATGCGTAAAACTAACTTCTGATTTAGGATATGATTAATATACCATTTAGACATAAGTTATGCTTGTAGTCAAACTAGAAGTCTATTAGTTCACTTACCCTATCTTATTTTTCTTTTTTAACTTTTTGTTGTGATTATTCAAAATTCTCTTTTCATACTTGGAATACAAATTAATGATTTTGAATATCAATTTATATTCATCTCTTCAGTAACCCTAATTAATTTGATTAAGGATTTAATAAGATCACTAATTACATATTTACATTTACTATGAAAATTTAACCTAACACTTCTTTTCCCCAACCCAATTTCTAGTTATGTAACTCATTAGTTAGTGTATTAGTGTATAGTTTCTAAATTCAAAATAAGTCAATAACTTAAGAGATCTATATTATTTATTTATTAAGCTTATAAAATTATAAATTTCTATGCATTGTTCATTTAAACTATTATCTAGATTTTTATTATTATCATTAATTTTACATAATTTTTAATTGTTATTTTTATTTTAGCTAAATAAGCAATCAAAGTGCAAGTGCTAAGCAAAGAATATAACATTTAAGTATGGGAAAAATATTGTCAAATGCAAGTGAAACACAACACAGAAACAATAAACTGCACAAGAACAAAAAAAAAAAAAGGGATCATGAAATAAAAAACTTTTTCATTAAATCATAATAAGCTCAAAGGAAAATAAAAACTATTAAAAGAAATAAAATAAAGATAACTTGTGCATGAACACTATTTGTTGCAATTTAGTTTTCATAACCATGTTTTTCATATCATGTATGTTTTTGATGATTCCAAATATTATTGTTTTAATTACTGTTTTTCCTAACATATATTGGATATATTATTTTTGTTGTTTGTGTGTACTACTAACATTTCAGAGAAATCATACTCTAGACTGTTGAAGACTTCAAATCATATTAGAATAAGATTCATTATAAATGGTGTTTGTATTTTTTATTTTTATTGAGACTAAGAGAGTATGATTGTATTGGGTAACCACACACACAGTAGGGGAGTGTTAAAAATTTATAAATTTTAAAAAACTATTCATACTGTACAATTTTAATTTGTACGGGACGATCTGTTTAGTTATTTCCTCCAACGAGCAGTTGAACTAACCATGGGGAAGACAATTTTCTAAGCACTATTCATATTATACGAAGAGTCCTTCGTACAAATGACATCTAGAGTACGAAATAGATACGCAAAAGTTCATCCTAATGATCATCAAAATCTTTCTGAACTGATCGTACTATACGAAGAAACTTTCGTACATATGACATCTAGAGTACGAAAAGAACGGGTCCGTTTTCATCCCGACATCTAAAGTACAAAATTGCAACTTTCAATTTTTTGGATAGTTTTTCACGTCTTTCATATAAAAAATCCTTAGAAACTGACTTGGATGAATTTAGTTTTTAGGATTTCTTAGAGAGCAAGTGAAAGGGTGATTTGGGAGGGTTTTTGAGAGAGAGTTTTTGCAAGTGGAGTGTGAAAGATTCACTAGGTTACTCAAAGCTAATAATATCTTTTGTGTTTGTGTCACTTTCTTCCATTCTTTTTTCTAGTTGATTGAGAGAAGATATTTGAAGAAGATATGATACTCTACTGACACTTAGAGGGTGTGAAAGGATGACGACACTCTGCCGACACTTGGAGGGTGTGAAAGGATGACGATACTTTGCCACACTGGGGATTGGTGGAAGAGAGAAAAATTGTAAAGGCTTCTCCGTCTTGCTGTGGGGGAAAAAAGAGAGTCACTTTGGTAATAATACAATACCTGAAGAGGGAGTATTCAGGGAGTGTACGTAGGTCTTATTGGACTGAACCACTATAAATATTTGTATTCTTTTTATTTCTTCTTTTTTATTTTTCAGCATTTTAATTTTTGTGGTTGAAAATTTTTGTTCGCATAAAATCTAAAATGATTTTCTTAAAATTTATCAAGAGTTTTTTTTTTAAATAAACAATTCATCCCCCTCTTAGTTAGCCTTCAGACATTTGCCTAAGTTTAACAACCTATTCAGACTTTTCACTATTCTCCATATCCATCTCCATCAAATATCCATAGGATTTATTCTCATTAGATATTGACAATTGCTTCATGACTATCTCAATATAACAACTACCATAATCATTACTACGGGGATCTCTCCAAGTCTATTAGCAAAAGAAATAAATAATAATAAATATATATAAAGATGCCACAATAACAATAATAACAACCAAATTTGTTTCCTCCTATTGATATGAAAAACTAAAAGAAAATAAAAGACAACGATAATAGCCACTAAGAAAAATAATTAATCAGATTCTTCTTCTCCATCCTCAGCCTCTGCACCAGTGAGCCATACAAATGATTGATATTTTGGAGAAGGATGCCCCATGTTGCAAATCTGGACCCTAGTCTTATGATTTTGATGATAACAAATATTAACACCAAGAAAATAAACTTGAATATACAACAAGTTCTACCCATCCTTCACCCACAACTTGGCAACCTCGCATTCCTTCAGATCTCCCATAAGACTTAACTCGATCGCACGTTGCTCAGCTCCATCGCAATGCCCTATATCATGAACTGCGAAGATTAATACGAGAAGATTTCCCTGGAGGAGATGTAATGCAAACTCTTTGATAGTGGAACTTTTAGGAGTCATCACCTCTAAATGAAGTCATTCTTCAGTACCCCATTTTGATTGGATTCAAACTACCGAACATTGAGTGCTACAACGGGACATTCGACCCATATGAGCATATCAATCATTATAGAACCATCATGCATATCCAGCGAGCCTCAGATGCACTCTTATGTCTGGTTTTTTCTACTACCCTCAAAGGACAAGCTTGAATGTGGTTCTATTGGTTTCCATCCATAAGATCACCTTATTCGTCAAATTGGCCAAAGTATTCATCAAACTGTTCATAGCCAATCGAAGAATTGCTAAGGATTCTTCCCACCTCTTCGGATCTTCCAAAATGAAGGAAAGTTGTTGAAGGAGTATTTTTAATGATTTTCCACCGAGGCTCGATAAATTCTAGGAGTAGATCCTGAATTATTGAGAGGGGTCTTTCTCGGAGGCCTCCATCCCCTTCTATTTGGCACTCATGTGAGACACAATTCATTTATATGCCAACTAGATTCATCATTTGGAGGCATAAATCTCGATAGATGAAGTCATAAATGCTCACAAAAAATAGTTTAAGCAGACCAATGGAAAATGCAAGGGTGCACCTGGGATGGATAATAAAAAAAATAAATAAGGAAAAAATAATCTGCCTCCTATGCCTCCATTGCCATGATAAGAATCTCGGCAGGAGAAGTAGTATACCCCACTCAACATATATCAAGAAAATGTATTGATGGTCGTTCGAGATCAAGATACAGTGACTTGGCCGAATCCTTTGAAGCTAAACATAGGAAATCAAGATTAGTACTATCACTTTCATTGTAGTCATGGCCACACT